CATGGTAGAGAGCAGGCACTGGGTTCAGTTTTCAGCACTTCATATAAGTAAAATAAAGGTCCATTGACAACTAAAAAAATTAATGAAAAMTACTAGTTATGGCCTCTGAATCTGTTCTCTGCCCTTCCAGCAGAGGTGGTGTCCTTGTACAGGTTGCTACCGCGCAGTATCCTTTCCCTCCTTCCGCCTCTCAGCCCCGATCCTGTAGCTTGGTTTTCCCCTCTGCTTCTCTAGGCTGGGTGACAATGCCTCCCCATTATTATGATTATTTTAATTAATTATTTTTTTGCAGTATTAGGGATGGAACCCAGGGGTGCTCTACCTCTGAGCCACATTCCCCGCCCTTTTAATTTTTTAATTTTGAGACAGGGCCTCACTAAGTTGCGGAGGATGGCCTTGAACTTCCGATCCTCCTTCTCAGCCTCTTGAGTTGCTGGGGTTCCAGGCTGGCACCGCCTCACCTGGCTTCTCTTTACTGAGCCTCAGCTCAGTGTTGGCAGCGGGTATACAAAGGCCAACAAAATGTTCAGGGCCCCTCGTAGATGGAGGGTTCAGAGGCAGGAGGAAGACAAGCGAAGAGGAGACAGTGGACCAGAGTGACCAGTGCTGGGGTGTGTTCCCGGATGCAGGGGTATCAGGGAACATTCCCTCAACAGAGACAAGAAGGAACCTCTAAGTTTGCCCCATGGGTAAGGTGAGGTTGGGCGCCTGTACCAAGAAAAAGGGATCTGCGCTGAGACCCAGGGCCCAGCGGGCATAGGACTTTGGAGGAGAGAAAGGATGGCCAGGGGGGTGGCCTTTGTGGCTCGGGTGGGGAGGAGGTGGGACCATGTGGAGACACAGGAGGACCTGCCCCTGGAGGGGCTCTCAAGGCAGGCCAGAGCCTGGTGGGTCCTAAGAGCCATCTGGAGTAAGAGGGCCTGAAGGATTTTAATAAAGGAGGGACATGGTCCAATTCCAGATGGTTCTGTGGCGAATGGCTTAGAAAGGGGCATAGCCAGGCCTCTGGGGCTGTGACAGAATGACAGCGGTGGCCCCTGGAGCTATGGCAGTACAAGTGAAGAGAGGGAGTACGTCTAGAAGTTACACGAAGGTTGGCAGGTCATTGACAGAGGGTGGCAGGACCTGAAACCAGTCCCATCACATTGTGAGCCTGGGGGGGGGGGGGGCTTGCCAGTACCAAGGGCAGCATCACCTGCTTACAGATGAACTGGGAGCTCCTGCTGGCTATTTGACCAGCTCACCAGTGGCAAGGGTGACCTTTACTGGAACCTGGTGGGGAAGAAAGAAAGGCAGTGTGCTCCTTTCAGGCCTGCAGCAGACCTTGAGGGAGCCACAATAACAGTGTTTGTTTGACCAAGCACTTGGCTTTTGTTCTGAGCAGGAAGAAGAGCTCAAACAGGTGTGGCAAGTCTGGGATGCCCTGGGGACAAGTGGGAAGTGGGGTGAGACAAGCCCCGGGGCTGCCTGGCAGGGGGCTCCAGGGTTAGGGATTTTGAAGAAACCCAGGGACTCTCTCACAAATCCTCCATCTTCCCCAAGTCCCCAAGCTCCTGCCTGATTGAATATACCAAAATATTAACCATGTGAACACACATTAATTAACCTCCTACAGTGTACCTAGCATCATGCAAGCAGGCAGGCCTGCCTTCATTCCAGAATCATCTCTGACCAGCCTCCCTGTGCCACCTGCTGGGTGCTGCAGACAGAGAAGCTCAGGATACTGTGACCTTGGGAGATGACCTTCTGGTGGGAAGTCTGACAAACATAACAACAGTATGGGGTAGTGTGTGGGTGATGGGAAGAGATGGGCTAAAGGGTACCAGGGGTTCATTCAACTACTCCTTAACCCAACTCAATGCTATTATCACACTCATTTTGAGATGAGGAAGTGCCCCTGGTGTGTTTGGTTCTGGATAATTTTCCTCTGCAGGAGGTGAAGATGGCATCTCATGGGGCATCTGGTCCAGCTCCCTTGTGGAAATGACAGGAAACCGAGACCTGGGAGGGGAGGGCAATGCTAGAACCACAAGGGAGAGGACCTAGCAATGAGGTCTCCTGGCTCCCAGCCCAGGGTGTGTTCCTAGCCACCAAACGTCTTTCTCTGCTCTGAAACTTCCTGAGACCCGTCCCCAGGACCATCCTCAGCTTGGGATCTGTGTGCCCACTCTACCTGGGCCCTGGACTCCAGAGAGGTTGAAAAAGCCTTGAATTGGGACAGATCCTGAAGCCAGGCAAGGATGTGGGAGCATGTGGGGAGGGTGTAGGAAGGAGCCAGGAACTGTCTTACTCCCCCTCCCCCATTCCCTCAGGAGGTCCCGGGGTGCCCAGGCTTGGGGAGACCAGTAGGCAGCCAGGGGAGAGTCTGAGGCCCCAGATCCCTGCCTGCCCAACACAGGAATGGGTCTGTCTCCCTTCTCTGTCATACCCCTCTGGTTTGGGGGTACTGGGTGGGCTACGGGGGCAGGTTGGCACTGGCCTTCAACGCGGCAGGGAGAGGAGTGTTCAGGTTGCCCTCTTGAAGCTGATAGTCAATGAGTAACCAGGACAAAGAGGCCATCCAGTGTCCCTTAGTTCTGGCTTGGTGCAATCTGGCTCCCTTGGCAAGGGTTTGCTGGGGTGGAGGGAGGGACAAACTTTAGCCCTCTGTCCACTGCCCCAAATTCCAGACAGGCCTAGAGAAAACTCTTCCCTCAGTTCCCTTCTTCCCTCCTAGCCCTAAGCCTCTCACCTCCAAGCCCCTCCCTCAACAGCCCCTCCCATCTCCAAGCCCCTCCCTCACTGAGCCCTCCCTCTCACCGATTGGCTTCCCCAGCCTTCTGTCAATCACCTCCTGGCCACAGGTTCACGTTCGCCCTTCCTGAGCCCCACCCCCTCAAGAAGAGTGTTCTCTAAGTGGAATCTGCTGGGGACAGTCTTCCAACCGCCCAGTCCTTTCCTGGGATCTCATGGGGAGTGACCCTAATCTGGGGTCACTTGCTATTAATAGTAACCCGCCTCCTCTTCCTTGGGTCATGGAGGTGACAACATGTTGGCATTTCTTAACCAAGATGAGAATTTTTCTGGTGCTAAAGTGTTCTCCTTAGAAATCCAGGGGCCTCGAGGATTTTACTGAGCTTTCGCTTTGCTGCGGCTAAAACGAGTTCAAGATCCAATCATTTGGAAACCATTTCAAGTCTCCCCAATGTCAGACACCTGCTCCCCTTTGAGTCACCAGCCCCAACCCTCCCAATGAGCCTGCCTCTTGGACAGGTGGTCTCCAGGTTGCACCTTGACTTCCCACCTCCCATTCACTTTTCCCTCGGCTGCCTCTGTCCCCGACACCTTCTGCTAAGGCCACCTGTGCCCACCCCTGGGGTTCCTAATCCCATGGCTACTCCTCAGGCCTCATCTGCTTGACCACTTTGGTAGCCTAGAGACAGGGTTGCAAACACCGCCTCCTTGAAACACTTTTTTTTTTCCTTTCTCTTTTTGGTTTCTGGACTGACCTCATGCTTTCCCAGGTTTCGATTGCCATCTGTATGTATGTTCACCATTCCCAGTTTACCAGACCTGGGAACACGCCCTCCTGCTTCCTGCTTCCTGGGTGTCTCTACCATAATGTCCTGGAGGAGTTCGCCCAACTCAATATGCCCCCAATGGAACCCATCAGCTTCCCCCAGAAACCTGGGCTCATTTTTTGGTAAATGGCACCACCATCCAATCTCTGATCTGGTGGAAAATTGAGGGTGGGTTATCCTAGATCCTTTCCTGCCTTTCCCTGCACATCTGAGTGGCTCTCAAATCCAGGGAATCTTGCTTCCTTAACTGCTCTGCTCAGGTTCTGCCCCACCTCCACCCAACCTCATGCTCTCCTCCCCAACAAATCATATCTTTTTAAAACTGCAATTCTCTTGCCTCAGCCTCTTGAGAGGCTGGGATTATAGGCTAGCACCACATCAGCAGGCTCCCCCCAAATTCTTTTTAAAAAAATATTATATTTTTTAGTTGTAGATGGACACAATATCTTTATTTTATTTTTATGTGGTGCTGAGGATCGAACCCAGGGCCTCGCCCATGCTAGGTGAGGGACCTACGGCTGAGCCCCAGCCCCAGCCCCCTCCCCCAATTCTTTATTTAACWTGAAATACAACACCCTGACATTTGCAGAGCATGTACCTGGAGCCCTTCCTGTCTTGCTCTGTGTTATTTCTGCCCCACTATCTCACAGAAATGACTGCTACCCTACCTTTCTTTCCCACCTTTTCTGAGCACAGGAGTCTTTCTTCTCTAGCCCTGGGCCTGAGCACTGAGCCCTTTACCTGTCTCTGAGACACAAGTATTTCTCAACATTGTTGACCTCTAGCCCCTTTGAGATGTATATTCTCAGTTCTCCCTCTTTCCCATTCTGGAGGGCCCCAGGAAGAAGATGGGATCTTGTTCTCATCTCTCCTCCAGGTGAGATTTTGCCCAGCTTTCCTTTTGGTGGTGAGTTGAATTCAAACAATAGGTCTTTTTGTTTTCTTTCTCCAAATATGAAATCACAGTATCAAATGTGCTCTTTCACACAGCGCACGGAGACGGTCAAGTGCAGCGGCACTGGGGAGGATCCAGTTCCAAGCACAACCAACAGGCACATCCTGTGAGAGGAGGGTCCCTGCCACCTTCCCCTGACCTCCCACAGCCAAGCCTGCAGCGTGCCCTACTCTCTAGATTGGGCTTTGGCCGCACAGGCTCTGTAGATTCAGCGCCCAAATTCCCAGTGGGTTGGCAAGTGACCACCCAGTGAGCACCACGCTCAATTTACACCCCCACTCCCGCGTTACTGAACCTCGGTCCTGTTCTGAGCTCCATCCAGCGCGAGAGGGGGAATCCAGCTTAGGGCGACCCCAGAGGCGGCACTCAGCAGGGAGGTGGAAGACCGCCGGCGCTCAGGACAAGGAGGCGCCAGCAACTGCAAAAGGAAAAACTTTTATTGAAAAATAACAAGTGGCCCGTTTCGTGGCTGCCGGTCCCTGCCCAACGCGGGCTTGGGGGTCGCGCCCGATGGGGCTGGCAAGTAGCGGCGGCCACCCCAGCCCGGCGCTCAAAAAAAGGTGAGGTTTTGTTGTTCGTGCGGGTCGGTCCTTAGGTCCCGCGGTCCGGCTTTCTGGTCCGAAAAGGGGTGGCGGCTGGAGAAGGGCGCGCCGGGCCGGCCTCTCCCAGTCCGTCTTGAGAGCTGCCTGGCACCTGGGGGTGGGCCGATCTCCGACTGAAGACCGCAGGCCSGACTGGTGGGAGCTCCAGCTCCTGGTGGCGGCGGAGGACTCTGTCTGCTTTTGCCACCTCAGACGTAGTCCTTGCGGTCGTAGGCGGTGCCGGTGCCCATGCCGGGCCCGGTGGAGCGCGGCGCGGAGTAGAGGACCTTGGTGGGCGCGTACTTCTCGCGGGGTGGGCACGAGCAGCAGAGCAGCGCGCCGCCCAGCAGCTGCATTGCCGCGGCCGCCCAGCCCACGTACAGACCGGCGCCCATCTCCCGCTTCTGGGAATCCGGCACCACGGGGTTGTAGAAGTCCCGGATGATGGTGTTGGCGGACCAGGACACTGGCACAAGGGTGAGCAGGGCGGCCAGCAGGAAGAGCACGCCAGCCACAATGGTGATCTTGGCCTTGGCCGTTTCGTCCTGTACGCAGTTGGTGCACTGGGCGCCCACAAGTGCCACGAGGAGCCCGAATGCGGCCAGCAGAATGGCCACCACGATGAGGGCGCGGGCCGCCTGCAGGTCTTGCGGCAGCGCCAGCAGGGAATCATACATCTTGCACTGCATCTGGCCAGTGCTCTGCACCACGCAGTTCATCCACAGGCCCTCCCAGGTGATCTGCGCCGTGATGATGCTGCTGCCGATGAAGGCCGACACGCGCCACATGGGCAGCGCGCAGCACACGATGGTGCACAGCCAGCCCAGCACGGCCAGCGAGGTGCCGGTGATCTCCAGGCCCATGGACATGATTGCTGTGCCGAAGCCGGCTCTACCGGCGACTCCGGGTGCTGGGAGGAGAGAGGCCGCGTGCCGCTGGGCCTGGGCTGGAGCCGCGGCGCGCTGACACACAGACCAACGCCCGGAGCGACGGACAAACTGACCGACTCACCGACGGCGCGCGCTAACGGCTCGGCTCTGCGCGCTGGCGCCGCGGCTGCCCCTGCACCTGTAGTTTTGTGGGCGGGCGCGGGGACTGGGCTGGCTCTGGGCTGGGGCCGGTTACTTTTAGCTTGGTGCCCAGAGCTCCGGCGGGGGCGGGGGGGGGGAGGCGGAGCCGCGGTCTCCCAGGCCTGGGGACAGTGACGTGGCCCCCCTCCCACTTTCACAAAGTGCCTTGGGAGGAAGGACTTGGCCAGGAGCGGTGTGTGCCCGGGTGGGGGGTGCTAAGGGCGGGACCTGCGGGCTCTCCCCAACCCCCGCTCCTCGCTCTTTGTCCCCAAGCTCAGAAAAAAATTCCCTGGGGCAGGAGGGGCAACGAGTKGTTCAAGGATTTGGGGTGCAAACCACGAACTGCTTGACTTCCAGTACCCTTCCCACCCCTGCCATTTTCGGCGCCTTAGGAGCGGGAGGCGTGGGATGGGGGCGCGGCCAACTCTTGGGACTGCTCGGCCCGGGAGCGCCGGCGGGGGCGTGGCCGCGGCCGTTGGTTGGAACCGGCGACTGCGCACCTGCTGGGGTCCTTCCAGCCTTGGAAACAGCGCAAGTCTTGTATCTGCCCGCCTCATCCGGGCCGGTGGGGTTGCTCAGGCCTGGAGGTGGGCTCGGAAGCCGGGGACTGCCTGCTGAGGGACCCGGGTCACCGAGACTGGTGCTGAACTCAAATTCTCCAGCCCGGGTCCAGCCCCCTCCCCTGGCGGTGAGCCTGGATGCCTTTCCCTCCCCGCAGCCACCTTCCCCCACTGAGTTCCCTCCCCTACCGAGCCTCCTCTTCCCTCCTTTGGGCCCCGAGTGAGTTCTATGGGGAACTTGAATGAAGTGGTGGTGAAAGATTTAATTCAGGCAAAAATGAAAAGTCAGAAACACCGGCTCAGACCTTGCTCCCAGCCCTGTGCGCTCCCCACGCTCCCCACCAGCTAAGAGCCTCTCAGACTTGGCCTGGGGGGGGGGGGGTCCTGCCATCTCCCACAATCGCCTCTTCCCCTCACCGCAGCACGGGGGTCTCCGGGCTTTGCCAGGGCTCCTGCCTCAAGGCCCCGCACTTGTTGGCCCCTCCACTTGTCCCCTCTGCATGGACACTCTGGCTTACTTTTCCCCCTTTAGGTTTTGTGCCCAACAAGGTCATCCCTGTCCACCTTATTTAAAATTGCAGCTACTTAGCTCACAATGACCTGTCCCTTTTCGTATTTTATAGTCTCCTCGAGTTCCAGAAGAATTTTAGAATTTAYTTATTTATTTTTAGTTTTAGGTGGACACAATATCTTTATTTTATTTTTTAAAAATTTTTATGTGGTCCCCCGCACACATGCCAGGTGAGTGTGCTACCGCTTGAGCCACATCCCCAGCCCTCTATATATTTTCTAAAAATATTTTGAGACAGGATTTCACCAAGTCGCCCAGGCTGGCCCCTGCCTCAGCCTCCTGAGTTGCTAGGATTACAGGCCTGCACCAGCRTGCCAGGCTCCTTAGCAGTTTAATACCTTCTGACACACTCTATATTCTTCTTATAATATTTTATTGTTTTTCTCAGTCTGTTCCCAGAGGACCACGAATTTTTGCCAGATGTAATTTCTTTCTTCTTTCTCTTTTTTCTTATGGTGCTGGGGATTGAACCCTGGGCCCTGTGCATCAAGGCAAGCACTCTACCAACTGAGCTATATCCCCAGTGCTGCCGGTGTCATTTCTATTGCAACCCCAGCACTGTTCTCAGTTGATTGTTGGTTTAGTGACTTCTCTTGTTTCTGCATCCTGACCTGCTGTGGCCCTCCCACACTGTGTTCCCTGGACAAGGTGGTGGTGGAGTTTGTAATCTAGTGGAAACCAAGGCCTCTTCTGCCAACATGCAAGACCATGAGTTGGGTTCAGGGGTTTTCTGGGTTGCTTCCCATCTCTCAAATCATAAGAGCCCTGGCCTGGAGTGATAGAAGATTCAGGTAAACAGGGCCAGAGGCCCATGGAAACCAGGGTCCTTCTTCTTGCAAGGGCAAAGGTCTTGGGCTGGGCCTGTTGGGCAGGGCTGGGAGTGCCAGAGGGCCCAGCTGGGTGCTGGGTGGAGGTGGCTCTCTTGTAGCCCAGGTCCTTTTTAGTGGGGGTGGCTTTGCACCAGGAAAAAAGGTAGACTCCCCTCTACCCCAGGCAGTAGGTCRGGAGCTGAGGTGGCGGGCTTTTGGCCCTAGCATGGTCCTCCACTGGACAGCCAGTTGTGCCAGGGTTGGCTGCCATGGCTCTGACTGACTCTTGCTGACTCCACGGCTGGGGAGAGTCACGTCATCTTCTCTAACCTCAGTTTCCTCCCTTGTAAAGTGAGGAAAATGATGTCCCCATGACTCACCTCTTAGGATTGTGGCAACAGTAGAAAACCTAAATGTACCAAGAGGCAGAAAACAACCCAGGCAGGGTATGCAAAGTTTCAGAGAAATGGTGTGGGCAGAGGGCAGTGTGGTCAGACAGATCTGAATTTGACCTTGACTTCACTCTCGTGGGTTATTAGACCTTGAGCAGGTCCTGTCCACCCATACTGAGTGTCAATTGCCTTCTTTGTGAGAAGGGGCTGATTCTGTGCTGCTAGCTTTAGAGGGATCCCAGGAACGAAGGGCCTTGTTTTTGAGCCTGGGTGAGACAGACCTGCTGGGCAGGGCAAGCAGGACAGAGAGCTTCATGCCCAGGGGCCAAACTTCAGGGACTTGGCAAATAAGACTTTGGTTCTGGACAAACAGATCACCAATCAACATTGYGCTCAGTATCTACCCTGGTCCTTACAACTCAATATAGAAACACAAACGATCCAGGTGACAAACAGGAAAGGAAATCAAACCACAACGAAATGTGGCTTYGCTCCAATTAGAATGGCCAAAGATAGCAGGTGCCAAAGGGGATGGGGGAAAGGGGACCCTTGCACACTGCTGGCGGGAGGGKGTGTTAGTACAGCAGCTATAGAAAACAGGGTGGCGGCCCCTCACGAAAACGGAAAAGGAAACCACCACAGGACCAGCCGTGCCAGCGCTGGGTGGATGTCCAGAGGAAACGAACTCAGCATGTTCAGGAGGCATCAGCACTATTCACAGCAGCCAAGAAATGGAATCAATCTGCCCGGTGCGGGGCTCATGCCTGTCATCCCATCGGCTCAGGAGGCTGAGGCAGGAGGATTGTGAGTTCAAGGCCAGCCTCAGCAATTAAYGAGGTCCTGAGCAACTTATCAAGACCTTATCTCAACATTAAAAAAAAAAAAATTAAAAAGGGCTGGGGATGTAGCTCAGTGGTTGAGTGCCCCTGGTGAAGAAAAAAAAAAAAAAAAACCCCTTAAAACTGCAGAGAGATACCACTTCACACCTGCCAGGATGGCTGTAATCAAAACATTAACCATAACAAGTGTTGACAAAGATGTGGAGAAATTGCAATTGCAACCCTCAGACTCTGCAGGTGGGAATATAAAATGGTGCACACTCTTGAAAACAGTCTGGCAGATTCTCAAAAGTTTGGACATAGAGTTTGCATATGACCTAGCAATTCTACTTCCAGTATTCACCCAAGAGCAATGGAGACATATGTTCATGTGAAAAAAAACTTGTACACGAATGTTCATAGCAGCGTTATGCATAATAGCCGAAAGGTAGAAACAACCTAAATGTCCACCAGCTGATGAATGGATAAACAAATGTACCATGGATTAAAAAAAAAAAAATTCAGCATATTCAGCCCAGCACAGTGGTGCATGCCTGTAATCCCAGCATCTGGGGAGGCTGAGGCAGGAGGATCACAAATTCAAAGCCAGCCTCAGCAACAGGGAGGTGCTTAGCAACTCACTGAGCCCCTGTCTCTAAATAAAATACAAAATAGGCCTGGGGATGTAGYTTAGTGGTTAAGTGCCCCTGAGTTCAATCCCTGGTACCAAAGGAAAAAAAAAAGTAACATATCCATACAATGGAATATTATTTGGTTTCTAAAAAAGAATATWATAAACCATTCACAAAAGAGCACCTACTGTATGATTCCATTTATAAACAATATCCAGATTAGGGAAATCTATAAAGAYGGGGTCCGGGGTAAGGTTTTGTTAGAAGTGGGAAGTGACTGATAAGGGTATTTTTTTTTTCCTTTGGGGTAATGAAAGTCTTCTCCATTAATTGTGCTGTGGTTGCATCAGTCCTTAAAACATAACAAAAACTATTGAGTTGTGCAATTTGAATTGGTGAGTTCCATGGTATGGAAATTATACCTCATTAAGCTGTTAAAATAAAAGCCACTGTAGTGCTGGGGCCTTGGTGTGTGTCTGTGTGGGTGTGTTGCTTGGGTAGACMTGGGCCCAAGAGGGTGGGGTCAGGGTGTCTAGGAATGGAAAAGGCTTGGAATCTTCAGGCATAATGGACACCCCCACCCACATTCCTATCCAAAAGCAGCAGCACGGCCCAAGGTGTGACAGCCACTCCAGGACTGGACCCTGAAGCAGGCACTTTGTGACTGGAGGGAAGTGGAGTTCCAAGGCTGGGCTGCAGGAGTGGGGCAGGAGCTGGCAGGGAAGGGGTGACCAGGCGCTGTGGGTAGAGGACCGCATGCGCTGTAGGGGCGGCTAGAGAACCGAGAGAAGAGCGCCCAGAACCAGGGGGCCAGACCTCCCGTCCCTCCCTCCTGGTGTCCACCCCTCCACAGGCAGACCCCGGGTCCCACTGCCCACTTCCTCCTGGCAGAGACACCTGTGGACTCCTCCCCTTTCTTCTGCCCCAGCCTGAGCTCTGCAATCTCTATAGGATCAGAATCCTGCCATCTATAGGCTGCAGGAGATCAGAATCGAGGAGGGAGGAGCTTAGGGCTTGAGGAATTTGGGGCTCCAGATGCCCAGGCTCAGGGCACAGACCATGTAGAGCCCTGGGGTCGAGTCGCTCAAGGCACCACCCAGGCATGCTGCAGTCGCTGTGTCCTTTTTAACTTGCTGCAGCATCTGGGTGTCAGTGTGGTGCTGGTGTGTGTGTGTGTGTGTGTGCGAGCGTGTGTGTGCACGTGTGATGTGACTGAACTCGGACATCAGAACATATGGCATCTG